TCTGTCTGTCTGTCTGTCTGTCTGTCTGTCTGTCTGTCTGTCTGTCTGTCTGTCTCTGTCCATCTCTGTTTCTTGTTCTCAATCATACCCCCCCTCTCTCTCTCTCTCTCTCTTTCTTTCTTTCTCTCTATCTCTGTTTCTCTCTCATGCATGTATACACTCTCATACTTTTCTTGGTCCGACCTGAAATCAAACTAGAATTCTTTATCTCAAACCCACAGGAGGCAGAGACGAAAAGAAGTCAAAGCAAAAAGAAAATGGCCGAACATAACTACAAATAAGTCAAAGAGATCAAACACTCTTTCATCATCACTTTTATCTTACTCTCCTGTATGATGATCAGAGACAAGATTTTTGACGACCAAACGAATTTGAAATAACAGGCTACGTAGCTTATCTATATTTAGAGCAGAAGTTCTTAAGGGGCGTGTACTCGTCATATAGCCAAGTTAAAAGAAAAGAACCTTGATCTAGGCGTTCACTGTAAAAATCAGCAAAATCAGGGTCTGAATAATATTTTTATGAGGACCGAGATTTAACCGAACCCTTATAAGGTTCCTAGTCGAATCTTTGGTCCACTTTTTGGGGAAAGTTTTATTCTCTATGAAAATGTTATTTTTTACAAGGTTTTGAAACTCTATAAAATTAAATGGGGATGAGGAAGCAGACTGAAGACGAGGATCAAAATGAGGATGATAATAATGCGTCCATTGTGATATACTTTACACTACTCGCTACTGTTCAATATCAATTCGCTCTTCTTTCTCCCCTTTTCTCTTTTCTTTTTTTTAAATTCCGAGCTTGTTTTTTTCTTTAAGCTTACATCGCCATTTCAATGAAAATACAAAAATAAAACCGAAACCCGAGATAAAAACAAATAATCAACAGTAAAACCTTGAAGCCTAGCACTGCCACAAGGTCATACGCATCAAACCGAAGAGTATTGGGATTTAGACAACGAGGAAGAAACTGGAGAAATATCAAAGCCAAATTAAGAAATGAAATCCCAGGGAAAAATCCCAGTATTAATTATTCTTGAGTATAGCATTTATTCAGAGACAAAAGGAAGGCATTAATCAGAACTAAAGTGTAGACAGGTAGGAAAGATGTACAGACGAGATTTATTCAGGAGCAGGGTTGATCACAATACCGAAGCTGTAGTGGAAGCGATGAGAAGAGAGATATTGAGAGTGAGAGTGAGTGTGTGTGTGTGTGTGTGTGTGTGTGTGAGAGAGAGAGAGAGAGAGAGAGAGAGAGAGAGAGAGAGAGAGAGAGAGAGAAGAAAGAGAGACAGAAAGAAAGAAAGAGAGAATGAGGAGGCGGAGACAGGGGGAGAAAAAGAAAAAGAGGGAGTAAGAGGTGGAGAGTGGGGCACTTGGCTCTCACACACAGGAGACCGAGTTCGATTCCCAACTAGAGATAAATTTTTATCAGGCATCTGAGTGTTTCTCTACTAGGATGCTGTAGCGGTATCCTTCTCAACCCAAGTTGGTTTAATCAGGTAATGTCTGAAGCCTGCCGACTAAATGATCTCAATTGTGTCTATGGGGTGCGTAAAAATACCTACATTAAAAGAGAAAAAAAATGATCATCATCATCATCATCATCATCATCATCATCATCATCATCATCATCATCATCATCATCATCATCATCATCATCATCATCATCATCTTAATTTCCAATGATCAAGAATCAAGAGGGAAATCAGAGACCCACCAAGCAGAGCTAAGTACCAGCACCTGGAAGATGTGTATTCTGGGTACTCCAATAAGCAGGAACAAAACATTACTTGTCAAGCTGGGACCAAGTTGAGCTAGCGAGATTGCGGTCGAACCATCATTGGAGCTTGAGATGGTATAAAAACGTTGTGAATGAAGAGCTCAGCCCACGTTGCCGAAGATGCAGCCATGAAAAGGAGGATGTCAAACATAATTATGTTTGAATGTCCAGGAACAGTGGCAATTCGAACGGAGTTATTTGGACGAGTGGAGGTGCCTCTAAGTATAATAACAATGAAGCCGAAAAAGAGCCTCGCTCTCGCTCGAAGATTTCTTCTTGGACTTCACCACCATCATCATCATTATCATGATAATGTCGACTATGTAAGCACTAGAAAGTTTTATAGTTGATAATTTCTGTTGTGTCCACCCGCAGGCAGCGGGAGAGAATGACGTGTTGTGCTGTGAGCTGCCCAGTCTGACGTCACTCAAGGACACCTGCATGCGTGTGTGGGTCGGGGATGACCCAAGGGTGGACGTGAACGAGGATGGCGTTGCTAGTAAACATGGTGAGTGACGTTCTCTGTTCTCTCTGTGTCTCTGTGTGCCTCTCTGCCTCTCTCGCTCTCTGTCTCTGTCTCTCTGTCCCTTTGTCTCTGTCTCTGTCTCCGGCTCTCTCTCTCTCCACCCATAATAAATATATTATTATTATCTCCCCGTTCTCTCTCTA